GTGCGTGTGTGTTTGCGTGCAGCAAAGATTTAAATGTGTGATTTTCGCTGCTGTGTGTGTGTGCTAACAACACATTGTGTTTACTGGCTTTCCAGATTGAGAGGAAAACAGGCGGATGCTGTAATTAGCTCATCAGCTGGGTGGCACAACACTGGGTAATTAGACCAGTTCGGCAGCACCTGCGCTGCCAGGCCCGGCCTAGCAGAGTCTAACATAGCGCAGAACAGTACAGCTCAGACTGGCTCAGCTCAGTCGACCATAGCTTTGTCCATCAGACGGTAAAGGAACAGAAAACGCAGCCTGCCTGTATTCTAATGTTCAGACAGCCAGCATCTGTTGACGTATACACACAAACAGGCACACAGATGTATACTTCCCCACCATTCTCACTTTCACAACTACACACACTCACACAGCTACAGCTGCAGACCCACAAGCCTTCTGACTGCAATTGGAAAAGGGGCGGAAGGAAGCATCAGGGCGCCCCGTGGAAATTTCACATCTCATTGCACTCCATTTGCAAGTGGCGAGCGTGGGTTTTAGGCAGGAGCAGGGCCTTCTGTTGAAGCCCGGCGTGGTGAGAATACATAAAGCTGGTAGTGCACACACAGCCTTAACCCGGCCCACCTCAGCCGCTGGGGCTTGGGCCTCACCGCCACCTGTTATCTTATGCTGCAGGGGCTTAAGCTAATGCTAGCAGCGTGACGGCTAATCTATGACAAGCATCTTTTCCTCTCCAGCCGAGAGCTGAGCCAGACTGTATCCAGTTTTCCCAGAGATCAGTGCTGGTGCTGGGCTGGGCTGTGCTGTGCTGTGCTGGGCTGGGCTGAGCTGGGGGAGGGGGTGAAAGATTTGGGCATCTGTGATATTTTCTCCACACCCCTCATCCCTCCCTCTGACCCAATCAGATACCAATCTACATGACACTTTAGTGCTGGGCTAAAGTAAACATGTCAGCAATCTCAATGGGGTTATTCATCTCAGGCTCAAAGTGAGGGTTAAGACGTGTGAGAATGTAAGTACACACACATTTATACACACACACACAGTGTGAGTGTGTGTGCAGTACAGAGTGTGCTTAATGAGGGTAGAACAGGGCCCTTTGTTGAGACTCCTGCCACGAGGAAGCAGGGAGAAGGGGAAAAAGTGGAGGAATGGGTCTCAGTGGAAAATGTCAGCTTAAAAGATGGGAACATTTCTTTTTCAGCAGTTTCCCTGTCTGGCATTTACTTCACAATGGCCCATTCAACAGCAGGTGATGCCTTGGCATATTCAGATGGGGCCAATCCTGAAGGGGCGCACTGACACTGGCTGGATAATGAAACACAGCATGGAGACAAACCATGGCAGACAGGACGATCTGAGGAGGAACACTGGCACTAGATGTGGAACATGCACTGGTGCACAGAAGTGACCTGGGGTATCCTTTGACCTCAGTTAACAAGGGCTGCAGAGTCTGCTGCTTCTCATGTCTTGGAAGTCATATAAAACTGAACAAATCAGATTAGACACGCCAATTTAAATATGTTTCCACTTTTATTGCTATTTGAGTGGATTTTTTTGTGTAATGCTGACTGGAGCTGAGAGGAAGCTGACCCTGCAACCCTAAAAGCGCGAATGAATACCACCAATTACACAATACAAATGAAAGGGACTTGGGTGGTGGAAGATGAAGTTGTGACTGATGTAACAGCGACAGTACCCACCTTTCCTGTTTGCTGCATTCACAGAAGGCAAAAAGAAGGGGGGTGGGGTGGGGGTGGGGGGGTTAATAAGTATTTGGTATTCATATGGACCTATAACTTCTCTACTCAAAGTTTGTTCTAACTCTATTTTCAGCTAGCTAAATCCAGTTCTTCCGAAAATGCAAACCACATCTTGAAAGCACAGCATAAAAATGTATTCTAACATTCTCCGGAGAGTTTTGAGAATAACCTCATCATTGTTCACCGCTGGTGTTGGTCTTGGCGAATATGCAGGTAGCAATAACAACCTGAGCTAGAGTGTGATTATTCCTTTGCACATTTACTGCCAGTCCACAGTGAAAAGGGCACACCGCCACCTCCCCACAGTCCCTCCTGTCGATCTGTGTCTACATGGAGAAAGGGTTTTCAGACAGAGGATGTGCTACTCAGCGGTGAGCTGTCTCAAGGCCTATTATTAACCGGTCCCTTTCTAAGTCTGCTGAAGACGGCAGCCACACAGCACTCTGCAGGGCTGTGCATGGCAAGTTGGAGAATAGGTGTGATGTGAAATGGAGAATTTGTAATGGAGCCATTAGGAGAAGATAGGGAGGAGGGAACTAATCAGGAAGAAGCCAAGTGAGGTAAATAATGGCTCGTAGG